TTGACCAGCATGCCAACCCTACTTAGCTATGCTTTTGGTTTGCTGATGAAGAAATGGTCAAAACTTCCTAGTTCTACTCTGTTCAGGGCCTTGGAAATTAGGATCAAGAAGGTGAATTTGAACTACTCCCCCATGACAGCAATTTTAAAGATACCAGTGTAAAATATTGATTGTTGATATAACAATTGTATCCAAACAAACAAGGATAATTAATAATTATCAGGTAAATTACCCATTTAAAAGTGAACTATAGAAGTGGTGAATAACTCAAGAACCTGGTAATAGGATAATGAGGTTTTTCCCTAAAAAATATCCAAACAAAAGTCACCCCAACTTGATTTTAAATGAAAGAATATCCTCTCTGGTGCTGTTTGGAGAATTGAGCTTATCAATGTGGTTTTTAAGACAGATTGCGGCATTATAACTTTTTGTTGGCAGTAGCAGAAAAGAACTGAAAGACTGAAAGGATAAAATTACCGCATTCCCTTTTGCACAAGTTTTTCCAGTTTTAAGGCACAATAGTTTGGTAACGTAAGAGGACAGGTACTGCTGCTTACCATGCCATGGCCAGTATAGGTAAATTGAAAACTTCTCTCACCAGGGATGTAAGAGAAACCCACAGTTCATTTACTGAGGATACATGCACCCTCCACCACAAGTGAAACATTAAACTACATGTGTGGAATTCACATCACATTTTTATTATATCCAAAAGGCAAAAACAAGAGAGAGGGTATGAACCAGCCTCTGTGGACTAGTGCCATAAATCCTGAGTGACATAATATCACTAATTGGATGTAAGGTAAGAGTCTTGAGACTATACAGTATGGGTGTGTGAAACTGGCTGTATTGGGTTCAGCTGAATTGGGGACAGTAATTCAATTAGTTGATTTGGATCACTGTCCCCAATCTGATTCGGCCGAATCCAAATCTGAAAATTCAATGCTGATTCAGAGAATCGGCAATTCAACCACAGACACAGCTTTAAATGTTTTTTCTACATGCCTCAAGGTACCAGGCGCAGCTTGTGAATGCTGCGATGCTGGGGCAGATGGAGCATCCCATAGGGGTACTTCTGATCCACTTCTGGGTCTGCCACCAAGCACATGGGGAGGGGCGGCCTGCACCCCCTGGCACGGCAATCAGCCGTGGGGGGATCTCGTGTGCCCGCTCAGACCCAGGAGGGACCAGTCGCAGAGCTGGGGGGGATGCATGGGGGCTCCCTAGCACACTCCCTGGCAGACCTGGAAGCGGACCAGAAGTGCTTGTGCGCCACTTCCAGGTCTGCTGCTGAGCACACTGGGGAACCCTCTATGCTCCTGTGGGATGCTCCATCTGCCCCACCATCGCAGCATTCACAAGCCGCCTGGTACCTTGAGGCACGTAGAAAAAACATTTAAAGCGGTGTCTATGTCCAAATCTCTCCCAATAGATTCGGAGGGTTCCAATTCAATTTGGAGAGATTAAAGGGTCTCCTGATTCAATTCAGATTCGGCGATTCAGCCACTGAATTGGGCCGAATCGCCCCTGAATTGAAGCAGGGACTGAAGCTTCGCACAGCCCTACTGTACAGTACACCACAACTCTCACGCTCTCAAATGTAAATTCTTTCCCCCTTAAGCATTATGGAACTGAGAGACTATTGGAAAACACGTCAAAAAGGAAACAAGCTTTGGAGAGGTATTCACAAGTATCAAGATGAAAGACACCTTCTAAGTTTCTAAGAAAGTGATGTTCTGGGAACAGGTTTAGGTGAAGACCTCGTGTCTGGATGGCATCAGGAAAATAAATCAATGTGCAATGACAGCCAGTTAGCAAAAACTTACTTTTTGTCCCAGTCACAGCCCTCAATTCATATTCACTGATGATTTTTATACCCATTAAGCATTGTGCAGACTTGTGTCCTGCTCTGATCTGAGAATGTATTCCTTCTCTCTCAATCAAAAATGGTTCATTAATGACACTTTTCTTTATTCTTATTATTTTGGGGTATGCCTTGTATTTAAACTAGGTCCAGTCTTGTGAAATGACTTTAATCAGTAAGATTTTCAAAATCCTCCTTATTCCTGCATGACTAGTAATGGGACAGGATTTTTTCTACTATTATTGTCTGCCCTCATATATTTTATTCCTGTTGGCTGAAGTGTCTGTCTTACATTCACAGGAAAACTGAATAATTTATTTAATCATTCACAGAATACTCGTCAGTAAAAGCTAAACTAGCAGGTCATGAGGAAACTGAACAACTTCAATCGGAGATGATCTAATGTTAAGTCATGTCCACAAAATTCAACAATAATCATCCAGACATCTCTAGGCTCTAGCCTGACACAACCTTTGCTTGTCTGTGGATGAGTAGATTCAGCCTACAGAGTGATTTTTACTACTGCCCAGATTCACCACTAACAACTCTGTAATTCTCTACTGATGATGCCAGTCATGCAAGTGGTAATAAACAGGATTTGGATGTTTATTCTAGGTATTAAAAATGCCGGAGTCCTGCCATCACTATAGCTCCTAGTTTTGCTACAAGTGGGGCTGCACAAATAGTGAACTATGGCTTTGAAGTTCTCCAGCATCAACACAATCTCGTAACGGTAAAGACTCCTAAATGCTGATCCAGCAACCTTAGACTAGATTTGCCTCTGACAGCCTTGGAGGTTACTGGCAAAGAAACTTTACAAAAAATCATTAGCATAAAAATGCTCACAACTTGGATTCCCAAGTACAACTGGACACCCACGATAAAAACTCACTTTTCTGCAAGAACCGAGAGATTGCTGGCTTCTGTATCAAGTGAGATTCTGGAAGTTTCCAAAGTTACATCAAACTTATGCAATGTGGATCTGGCCGGTACTGCTAATGTAAGTACTGTAAAAAAACAGCATTCACTGGTGTGTGTCGCTCTGTCTAGGATGGTACTTTTTAAAAATGGCAGTGCACACACACAGTTTAGTTGTCTCCGATCCCTTACAGGTGGTGACAAACTGTGCTTGATGCAACATAATTAACTTAATTTAGAGGGAAGAGGGCATCACTCCCAATGGAAGGTGACATTCCATTTACATTATTTTATGTTCCGCAGGGTATATATATCTTAACTTAAATAATTTTGTACAGTTCTTCTGTTAATTGTTGGTTATTTGATTAAATTTGCAAATGGCACCATAAAAATCAAGGTTTTGAATTAACGTGCTCAGTATTCCTAATGACCTCTGCCACAACTCAGTACGGAGCTCTGGGGCCTTGTCTTCTCTTGCAGGTGAGCTGAAAGCCATTCCCATCTCATTGTGATACTCTGCTCATTGCTATCTCCCAGAAGGGGCTTTCTGGTGATTTTCTGCTATTGATTGATGAACACCAAACGATGGGCCTTGCCTACAGAGTTAGGAATAATATTCTTTCAACAATGAATCATTTTGAAAAAATTAAAATACCTTGTAAAATTGTAAAATTCAATTGTGAAATGAATAAGCTTCCTTACAAATAAAAATCATTACAAATTATAGGACTGTGAAATGTTGGAAATGCAGGTATATGGCTTGCAAGTGGCATGGATGTTGAATATTACATAGAAGAGATGAAGAAATAAATTAAAACGTAGCAGTAAATGAGAAATAAAACAACGCAAGTGATAGATCATTTTTTAAAATATTCATTTCAGCTATGATTCTGAAAGTCATGTCAATTTTTTATTCTGGGTGTAGGGGATTTGGCATAGTTAAAAGTAAAAAGCAATTTTAAAATGTCTTAGTGAGACTGTTTTAAAAAAGAAACTGCCTTCCAACATATTTTAATCCTTTTTCCCCCCCAAAAAAAAGGCCTCCTCTGTGTCCATTAATCTACCCAAAATTTTCATTACCTCTTTTGCTCAGGTCTATACCAAAAAGAGAGGCAATGAAGAAAAGTGTCTGCATTTGTCCATGCAAAGATGTAGTTCAATACAGGTCATTTCCAAGGTCCCCAAGACAATGCTTATTGTTATCTTTCTTAACAAATATATATTTACTACAGACATGCTAGGCACCTTAAAAGAACTCTTTTTTTTGCATTTCATTTTGTAGCTGTCAATGTGGTTTGTTGAAGAATGAATGGAATTTTAGATTTGGTTTTGAAATATACTCATTGGGTTCACCAGAGGGAACAAGAAAAAATAGTAATCTTTTGAGTTATTTTCCCCTCGCTCTATCAAAACTATAACTTTATCATTTGTTCATGAGCCAAATGGTACCCAGATGTGACAACCCTTCTTTGTTTTAGAGGCCCACATAGCTAACTGGAAACCTTCATTCCAAAATGCTCATTCCGTCTAACTTTGAGAACTGGGCAGGCCATTAGTCTTGTTCAATATATTTCTGTACCAGTGAACACAGCAATATATAAATCACTTTCCCTTAATAGGTCAAAGACAAAGCTGACCTCTTCAGAATGCTAATCTCTTGAGTTTGTTTAAAATTCTTTAGGAAATGTATTTCTTCAAAGCTGCTGAAAATCTGTACAAATTTGGTTTAAAAAAAGATAGCTACATTATTTATCTCACACACTTACTGGATTGGAGGAGCCTGATAACAAGATGCAGAAGAGGATCTAAACTCAACATTTCTTTCCACTGAAAATCACATCCTGTACTCCTATTCCAGCAGAGGTGGAACATACTAACAAGGAGTCAGGATAAGTAAATGCAGACAGCAGGATGCATTAATTCAGCCCATCCCTTCAGCAGCCTCTGCTGGCAGGATGCTTGTAGAGATCCAGACTTAAAGCAGGAGGCAAGGCAAGAGTGGCAACATCATTTTCCAATTTTGGTCTGAATTTCTCTTGGGGTACAAGAAGCTTTAATGGCTTAGGGAGGTATAATTTATTCTCCTCTGGTCCAATACAGTAAGTCTGGTCTTTGACAGTCTCACTTTTTCATTCACCTTTAAAGTGTTATCTAGATATAAATTGTTCTAAATAATGAACGCAAGTATCTCATCAATGAATAAACAGAAGGTAATATGTGAGAGTAACTGATTTGTTTCTAATTCAAATGAAACATTTCATTTTTTTCTTCTTACAACTCATATTCAGAATTTAACATCTCTTAAAAAGTAAAACTACAGGTGTATGGTAGGAGTTTATTAGCATTCATGGAGAATTCTGTATAACATTTACTGTAAGTTGTTCAAGCCACTGGGCTGCCCATCAACCTTTCTTGCCGAAGAGCAATCAACCTCTGGAACCACTTTTCCTCTGCTTCTGCCTTCTCAATAAATAGCTGTAAGAGGGGAGGGGAAGGGAGGAGGGAGAGAGAAAGACACAGCTACTTTTAACCTTCTGTTGTTGATTTGGGTTTGCTAATACTGCTCAGTATAGTGATACAGATACTGCATATTTCACCGATGTCAAAAGAAACATCCTGCCCACCTCCAAAAAAGAAAATTAAATGCGAAATCTATATTAATATAAGGTTAAGATTAAGATCGCAATCAATGAAAAAAGTCAAGAAATTGAAAGTTAAAGTTTCCACAGCAACACATCTCTGTCATGCCGTATGGGCACTACATCTATAGTAGGTGTATTTAGTACAGTCAAACAAAACACTACATGCGTGCAATGTGTTCATCTGAATCCTTGTTGTCAAAGTTTTAACTTGGATTTCTTTACCTTTGCATGACAAAAAAGTCAAAACCAATATTGCACTATTACAGTTCTTTGGATTAAATATAATCATGTTGTGCTGTGGATACAACTAGAAAACCACAGCTGCATATTGAAATAACGGCAAAAACTTGGAAGTACCCATTAGCAGACCTAAAGCACACAAGCAAGGAATTCCACTTGACCACGGCACCTAAAACGCATTAGTCAACTTTCATTTTGATATGGGATGAGGCTTACATGGGATGTGCATTAGTTCAAATGGAATTCCCAGACCCAGAGGTGAGGTCAAGGTAGGCAAGTTGCACCACTATCTAACTCAGGATAAAAAAAATATTCAAAATAATCTTGTGCAAATCCGTGTGTGAATACCTTTACTTCAATTTAAAAGCATTCACAAAAGATTTGAATCAATATAAGTACATCTCTTTAAAATTTCAACTTACTTTAAACATGTCACAAAAATATAAGTATTTTTTCAGGGACCTCAGCAGGGTGGAACAGAACTAATTTTAGGCTTTGATAAGTGAGGTGTTCTGGATTAGACTAGTTGGTCTACTGTCAAACCACACAAACCTGCAGTTATTTCCCCTGAAGGCTTAAAGAGGAACTTTAGTGTCACTGTTTTAGCTTACTTTGGTGTTTTGTTGTGCTAATTCTATGCCACTCTAAAAATTTAGGAATTTTGGGACAATTATATTTAAATCTTTCATTAGATGAACAGAAAAAAGTTTATGTATTTTAATATATTAACTGGAGATATGATCTCCAAGGGAAACCTATTATCCCTAGAAAAGGGGTCAAATAATGGAAGAATCATGAGGACAAAGAAAATATCATACAACAGAGAAAACTTCTGGACTAACTGGGCCATGATTCTCTCTCCAATCTTAACGCTCCCATACAAGTTTTAAATTTCTCACCAAGTTTCTCTCTCTTTAAAAGTGGCAGAAATCATAGCAAACTTTGAAGCATTTTTGTTTAATGTGCAGTATCATTCAATTCAGCCACCAACAGTAACAGCAACAATATTGTACATCTTGGCTAAAAGGTTTTTTAAATGAAAAAAACTTTAAAAAATGCAAAATGACTATCACATTCACTTTGAAATTTCATTTTTATTCAAAACTCTAGTGGGCCCATATCTTAGAGCTTTTCTTCTGTAGTTTATGGGTTATATGAGCCTTTTCATAGGAATGGCAAACTTGTTAGTAAATGATCTTTGGACTCCAGGTCATGTGACCTCGCCTCCACCCAATCAACTGTTAGTGTTATTCCAAGGGTGCAGTAAATATCAACTTTCTTACATTTGGATGTGCTAAAGAGTTGTCATCTTGGTACTTGATGGCAGTAGGAATGCTGCTACTTGCTATTTCTTTTTCAGTATTAGATGTATCAGCAATTCCCATTCCTAAAGTTGCAGGTTCGTATTTTAATTCAACAGGTTCTGTTGACTAAAAGAAAAAAAAAATCATCAATCTTTTAGAACACTATCCCTGACACTTTGAAGAATTACAATATCATAACTTAGCACTTAGTTCTCTTCACTTGTTCAAAATATATCCATTTAGTAACTGATCCACACAACAATCACGGTCATTACCAGGGAACCTGGTATTCCATTGTAAAAAAAAAAAAAAAAAAATCACAAATTCATGGTTAAAATTAAATGCCTCCCACAGCCATGCTGGTGGCCCTCACTCCCCACCCCCACAGCCCCCCAGCTACAGCCTCTGTCCCCCAGCCCTGCTGGAGGGGGCCCCCAGCTGCCAGGACTATGGGGTTAGGGATCCAGGTCTGCAGTCCCCTGCCCCCAGTGGAAGGCAGCAGCTGCTACAGCAGGAGCACAAGCTGGCTCCCCGCTGCTGCTGCCTGCTGCAGCCTTGGGCAGGGCCAGCTCCCAGTGGCAGCATGCACTCTTGGGGATCAGGGGGACCTGTGCCCCCCCAGATCTGGG